CCATTCTTCATGAACACACTTAGCATTTTTACCATTAAATTTGCAATTGAATGCACTTTGCAAACTTCAATCCTTTTGCAAACTGTTGAAACAGGTATGAAATAAATTTATATTAAATAAGATGCAATAACACAATCCAAAGAATGCAGGAAATAGGGAGCTCGCAGTCAAAACATTTCAGCGAGAAGCTTCTACACTTTTATCCCGTTGTCATCACAGAGACAATGATCCAAAAAAAAAAAAATGCAAAGCAATAAAAAGAGAAAGGCAACATTCGGAGGCAAAATGCAAAAGAATAGTTGTTACTGTTGAATGGCGACAGAGGAAAATGAAATCCAAACAAAGACAATAAGAATGAAAGCGTGGGTATTGATTTTGAAACAAAGCCGGCACAATTCCTTTGGTGCATAATTCTACTTTTGATTACTTCGAATTAATGTTTGCTATGATACATGGGATTTGAAGTGTAGGATCACCTCTCCGAAATGGTCCTTTTGGCTATTTATTTTGTAATTCCACATGTAGGTTTACTAACAGCATTAGCTTCTTTCAGATGACTTACCAAAGAGCCATTTTACTCAAATTTGACTCTGTTTAGATCAATCGTTTTGCTTTCATTATGAGCAAAATTTAGGTGCACTACATATACTAAAACTGTCTACGAAAAAGGACCAGTTTAATCGATGAGCTCTTTGCTTGAGTAATCAACCTAGGATTCGATTTGAAGGAGGACCACTTTAACAGATGAGCTATTTGCTAGGGTAATTAACTCAGGAATCAATTTGAAGGAAGACCAGCATATAAAGCTTCAAGAAAAGGGGCAAAACAGAAACTTGTGACTACCAATTTAGAGTTCAAACCAAAGGAGGGATAAAGCAGAAAGCCTGGATTTCCTTGAAGTAACTAATTCTAATTTCCTGATAGAATTTTGTTTCATGAATGAAGATTAAAATATATAAACTGGGATTAGGTAGACATGTTTTTCTTCCGTTGCTACATGATTTTAATTCATCCAAGATGATGGTCTTTCTTAGATGGATGTGGGAGCTTAATCTTGCAAACTTTCTTGGAAAAAATGCTTTTGCTTTGAAAACAAAACTAAACTCATTGATTAAACTGTAGCTCTCTTCTCTGTGACCAGTAAAGAAAACTAAACAAAAATTTGGAGAGAATAGGATTCTCTTTTGAACAACAAATCAAAACTAAGTTGATACACTCATTTAGACCATGAAATTGGCTGCTTTATGGAGAAAAAAATACTGCAGTAATCCATTAACTCTACATCCTCTTACATGACCACTCAAACTAAACTGAGTATGTGAAATCCTTATTTTAACAATTGCTCAATCATTTTCAAACTGGCTAATTTTTGTAACAAAAGAAGAATGCACAACTGTATTGCCTGTATGCACCGAAAAGAACAAAACAGAGAGATTTTAATTCTTTCGTGAACACTAAAACTAAAATCACAAGCAGCCCGTTTCAAAGTAAATAATGACAAGCAGCAAGAAATTTTTTTCGCTACATATAGGCCAAAGCCGATACAAAAATTTTCTCTAATACCAATAATCAAACACTTAGCATGCCTTAAAAGCAAACACTTTGAAAACACAAAATGAATTGAACTCGAACCTCTAATTACTGCCTTATAGAAACATACATGCAATTGTTGAAGCACCATAATTCTATGCAAGTATATAAATTTTATTCGAGCTTCAAATAAAATTCGACATAGAAGAAGCAATTACCAGTAATTCAAAAGTTCTCCGTTCAATTTTCGAGTTACAACCCGTAGCAAAAGACAACACAAAAAGAGAGAAAGAAAGGGAACTCTTGCCGTTGATTCACGGTTCGTAATCCATTCTTCCCAAATCGCAAATTTTGCAGCAAAAATAAACCCACATACAATTTTCAGACCTGAAGCTCTAAAAGACCGATAACATGAAGCAAAAGTAGAAAGAGGTGGAGGAAAGAACTGGAGATGTGAAAATTAATTTTAAAAATAGAAGAATCCTTTGGATTTGAACAAAGAATGGCCACGTGGAAGAAAAATGGCCTATATACAAAACCGGCAACCGAACGAGGCCGCGAGACAGAAGGAGCGAACTACCCAAATGGAAGAAGAAGGAGTTCAATCACTTATTGCCACGTCACCAAAAAGGAGAGGCAACTTGAAAGAAACCGTGCCAAGATTTGCCATTCTCCCTTTATATTAACTAGATTTGGATTGGATCTATACAATTCAATTACTTATTTCATTTACATTCTTTTTGTGTTGTCATTTTGCTTTGTTTATCTATTACAATTAGTGGAATCAAAATATTTTTTGGTGGTAAATATAAATATATATATATATATATGTATATATATCATGGAATATACTTTTAGGCCAGTGATTCTACCAGGACACTTTCTAGCATCTAGGACGAAAATTTGCTTCTTCCAAATCTATCCTCCATCGAGTCAAACTTCCTTCATCAGTTATTTTTCTCTCCTTTTCTCCAACTCCTCGGTGGCAACATCCAGTTTTCTTGTTTTCCCATCTTTCTTTTCTCTTTTCTATAACTGAAAGGGAATTTAATTTTTATTTTCACGCCTCCAATTGGATGGCAAAAGTCTACCACCATCGGCCTTTTGAATCCTCCGTTCAGTGTCACACAAATTTGAGAACAAAACCGTCGGAACACATCTGCCACTTGCCCTCATTCGTCTATATGTAAGTGGTATGATTAATGGGAGATCTGGTTTATGACTCATCCCATTACATCAGAAGTCCGAACTAATATTTCTGTTTTCTTGAACTCTACACATCTTCCCCCCAAATTTACATGATTTAAGAAAAATAACCAATTGACTGAATCATTCTTCAATAGATGATTAATCGATTTCGCGTAAAAAACTTACTTCGTTAAATTCAAGTGAAAGGTTTACCTTTCAATTATAGATTTCAACTGACCTGAAAGATTAAGAACATACATATGAAATAAGTACATGTAATTTTGGAGGGGACTCTTTATTTTCACAGTGAAAAAAGAGAGACAACAGTGAATTGGAGAAAAGGTGAGAGAGAAAGTAATTAATGATGATGAGAGAGGATAATGTAGTTTGACTCGATAGAGGGTAGATTTGGAAAATAAGCAATATTTTGTCCTGGATGTTAGAAAGTGCCTGGCAGAATCACTTGCCATTCTTTTAACCTTTTTTTTGGCATGCCATATACAGAAATTAATAATCTATAAATTAATAATTTCTAACAATTCATAATTTTCTCCGGTCCCAACTTAGGACCATTACAAAGAGTGAAAAAAATCGATAAAATGATAAGATAGTAATGTTTCAGAAAATATCCTAAGTATCTATAGGTCCTAACAATATCATAAATTAAATAAATACCTTAAAAACAAAAAATAATTATAATAACTATAAATATTTTGTAAAATATGAACTATTGATACTTAGGTCTTGTTTGGAAAAGTCACTTTTTGCCATTTTGTCTGATTTTACTTCTTAAAACACCTCTCAAACACAAATCCCAATACTATCCAAACAACCTTTTAATTTACTTTTTAAAATTTATTTCAAACATTATTTTTACACTATTTTCTTACACCACCACCGGGCCGCCCACTGCCGTCGGCTGGATTCCAGCTGGCCGGCGGCGGCGCCGATGGCGGAGGTTTTCCAGTGGTGGTATAAAAATATTATTATTTTATTAAAATATTACCCTAATAACTTTTTAAATTTTCTCTCAAAACACATTTTAAATCACATTTCAAAACCAAATCAAAAACTAAAACAAAAATAAAAACAAAATGTTGGCCAAACAAGCCCTAAGTTTTTTAGTCCATGGAGATGATATGAACTATTTTATGAATTTTTGGTATTGAAAAAAGTTTTAATATTTGATTGATTTAGATGTAAAGACACTTGTAAATTAAGAAATTTAGTGACGGTTCTTTCTTCTCATAGAAATTCTTTAAATTAATAATTTATTAATTTATCGATTATTTAATAATTCTCTAAATCAATAAATTTTAGTGGTCTAATATAATTAATTTATAGAAGTCTATTAACTTATAGAAGTTCTATTGTACTTGTCATGGAAGCTCGTCTTTGGAAATGAAATTCGTGAACTCTAGACATAATTTTTGATTTGACGAAAGATAAAATAATAGGGGAGAGAGGGAAAAATGTGATTGAGAACAAAACAAATTCTCATACCAACATCGAAAATATATATGTGACTTAGTTGTATATATTAAATGACTAAAACTAATTTCAATTCGAGTGGAATTATGTTACGAAGTGATAAATTAATTTCAAATAAATTATTTAAATTGATGATATGTTAATTTAATTAGTGACATTAATAGCATATACCATTGTGCGACATTGTCATGTTTCAATCAAAGAAATAGATATACATTTGATTTGAATATATATATTCTCGGTGCAATGACAACAAATAAATGCATTGCAATATTTAGAGCAAGAGCATTTTATTCTAATATTTCTTCTTCTTTTCAAAAGAATCATTTTTTTTGTTAGATTATTTTATAAAGAATCATTTTGTTTGTTGGAGTATTTGACAGTAAATGAATACATGAAATATTCGTATTCTCCTACCCAAGCTGCAAGACTTAGCAAAATTATTTTAACCAAAAAAAAATGACTTAGCAAAATTAGAACAGTAGAATGAATATATTCCAGTTTCCTTTTCCGGGTTTAATGAATATCCTAGAGGATATTTTCCCACACATTATGTATGATCCATTTGTTTAGTTATTATTCTTTTATCCTAAAATGATTGTCTATGAAAATTCAATTGAACAATTATTTTAAAATTGAAGGAGTATCTCATTTCCACCTATTTTGAAAAATAAATAAATCTCATTCTCACACTCCTTTTTCTCCATAATAATAATGAACTAAAAAAATATAATTCTAATTTCCACACTTCTTTTTCTCGAAAATATAATGAACTAATGTATGTATCATTTGAGCTCAAAAAAAGAAATGCATTATTGAGAAAAAAAAATAGTTGAGAAATCACAGTAAATTTGTTCTTCCTTAGAAGTAAGAACTCATTTTTAGAAAGATAAAATGCCAAAAGAGGACTACATTTATATAACTATTACCTTTCTAAGAAATAACCTGTCCACAAGATAGAAATGAACTATTTGATATGGACAACAATGGTTACTAGAACGATAGGCCGAATTATTATTATTATTATTTTTTTTTCCATGAGCAACGTACGCTAAAAGGATGAGTTTCAAACTTCAACTTTAGTACCAAACTGTAAAAGTGCAATTCACATTGCATCCAAGGGATCACACAGAAAACCTGTGCAAGTATGAACTCTTCAAGTGCAAGTGAAACTTTATGAATCAGACAATTTGTTAGCACCCCAACACTCAGCATCTTCACAGTCAAGTAGCAAGGGTGACAATGTTGACATCTTGACAATACAACAACTCCAACATATGGAGGTTCCAGTTCAAAGCCGTGCGGTTGCACCTACCACAGAAAGGAATGCCCTAATGAACAATTTATAAAAAAATGAAAAGTTAAACAGACGGAAAGGATATTCAAGAGGTTAGCCTACCTTTACATTAATAGATTAAAGATGTCTTCGGCTCAACTGCAAGACAAACTGATCAACAGCCACCATTGCACGAGATGCCGGGCCAATGGAGCCATCATATCTGCCAAGTCCCCAGAAGAAATAACATGTGAGAAGAGTTCCTTCTCTAATGGTGTGAGATTCGAAGAGGATTTCGGTACAGAAAATGCTTACAGTCCAACAAAGATGAACGCGGCAGTCTGCATCACGATGGCACCTTCCCCAGCAGGTTTAGAAGTATTAATACATCTCGCACAGAACCAGCTCTCATGAATTGATGTGACAAGATCTAGAAACAAAGTTCAGACTTGATATTTCAAACTATTGACCTTAATAAAATAAGGTTAAATACTTTTTTTAATGAAATAATCACTTGTAACCAGGGTAATGGTTTTGCAAAACTTTCAATGAATTTGTTACAAATCTTCTATTCTAAAAGGATTATTTTGCAAATTCTACCAAGTAGAGAATACCTATTAGTTTTCTTAAACATATTATTCCGTACTAGCAAAGTTTGTGCAACATTAGCATCATAGTCCATTTCGGTAATTGCATTGCTCTGTTTGAGGTTTTGCATCAAGAACAAGCAATAATCATTCTGTTTCACACAGGGTGCACATGATGAAAGTTTCTCCTATAAATTTCCCTTGAAAAAAATTGTCTAGGTACATGTTCTGAAACCAATATCTTCCTTCTAAGGAAATACATATTGAAGAACCAATACAGTTAAAATCACAAAGAAGAGGTAAAAACCATAGCCAAGAAGGAAAAAATTGACTAAGGAGGTAGGGAAAATACATAATTATGATATGAATACTGTTGTGGACAAACTCATTCCACGTTCCAATTAATACTACTAAATAAACAAGCAAAACGTAGTACAGATCTTTGTATTAACCATCAGCAGCAAGACTCACATTGGTTATGTCCAATGAAGAAGCTCTCAGTTTCAAGTTTGTTTCTCCTCACAAAACTGAGAAATTGACTCACCTCCATTGCATCTACTTTTATCCCTTCTTGCTCTACACTACAAGCAAGCAACATTACTCGAGGATGGAAATGCAAATTACTAAAATCCATTAATGATACAAATATACAATGGCATATTCCACATACAAGCCCCGGGCCACAATCTGTTTCCCCTCAATACCATATTGCCAACATGTTAATGTTTCTCAAATTCTATGAAACAGATATCATCTTCATGATGCATGAAGAGGGTTCAAATAGCAGTTGATAGATACAAGCAAGATAGACCAAGCAACCTAGCTCCGTAACCTTTACAAAAAACAGGTGCATGCATCAAAGATACTAAATTTAGGATTTGAATTGCCATCTTTCTTAGTTTTGCATCTATCAACAAAAATCATTAACCAAACAAAAATCATTAACCAAACCAAATTCAAGTGAATATAACAACAAGATGCAAAGAAGAAGACAAGATCCGAACCTCAACATTTCGGGGTGAATCTGAATAGCTATTCAAGTAAAACAATCCATTTTTCTTAAGTAAACAAACTGACTAACAGAGTACTGAGTTGCAATACTAAACTATCATACAAACAAAAATGTTTCCATCTCCTTAAAGTATGCATATGATCAATCCATTTAAACCATGCTTCCATCTGTAAATTAAATGATTTTTCGGTGGAGAATCAGCTCATGAAAGCAACTCTTACACAAAGAAAACCTCCTTTATCTCCTCAAATAGTCATCCATAACTGAAACAGTAAAATTGGAAAGCAATTTCTTTTTCTCTGCATATGTAGTATGAACCAAAAAACCAAATTAGGGTCATGGTGGAGAAGGAGTTAAGGGATAGGATCGTAACATTAACCTCCTAGGTTCCTGTGGCTGCACTCCAAAATTAAAAGAAAGCCTAGAAAAAGTTAAAGCCTTTTGGTCAACAAATTAATGGCCATTAAGCATTGACAAAGACACGATGAATGCATTTGATGAAGCCAAAACAGCCATGAATGCCTATTATGATTAACCAATGCGAACAAGAAGATCTGAAAAATCAAAGATCATAATAAAGTAGTGAAAGTGTCTGCATCCGAATACGAAAACCTTTTGACAATAACTTAAAAAAAAAAAAAGAAAAGCAAAATGCAGTAAGAAAATCTGAAACTAGAGAATTTGACACATCAAATGCAAAACGATCATAACAACCAAGCTGTATACACTAGGTACAAGATTTAAGACATCTTGCACTGGTTATCCTTTCCATTCTTTCAATAAGCAAACTTCAATAAACCACATCTTCTTATACATTATAACAACAATCAGTACTACAACTACAGATGTTAAGCATCCCAGGATCCAATGAGTTAATTGAGGTCTAAAAACTAAATAAAAGATAAAGAATCCACATTTATTAGCAAATTAACCAGCTACCATAATCCTTAGACCAAAAGAAAGGTGTAGGAGCTTACTTCTCGAAGTTTGGGTGAAAACTCAACCCTTTTTTGATATCAGTTTCGTGCAGAAAAAAAAAGAAAAAAAGAAGCACAAATAGAATAGAAGTGACAACAAATATCACGTTTTCCATAAATATCAGACCAAAAGGAAAGAAGAAGAAGAAGAAATTTTTTAAAAAATAAAATAAAATAAATAATAAAAAGATGAACGCCTATTCTGCAACCATTTTGAGAAAATCACGCAACAGCAACCGAAGTCCTCCTCCCCAAACCCGAAAAAATCAAGAACCCACAAAATAGAAAAATGTTTAGAAGTTAATTATGGAGTCATATGATTCTTACATGGTGGACAAAAGTCGAGAAGGTCCAGTCGGGTCATGATTAATCAACAAAGCAGCCTTCAATGGCAGCCCTGTACATTAAACCAGTAAAACATTTGTGCGGGCAGAGACAAGAAGCAAGAGGCGGAGTTTGAGGAAGGAATTGAATATGAACTTCTTACCATGAGAGCCAACGCTGTTGGGCGCCCATTTTTCCCAGACCTTGTGCACCAGCGCCCAGTCCATTTCAGTCTACCCTTTCAAATGGGAAAAAAAGAAATGGAGAATAGATATGAAAACTAGGTGGGGGTGGACCCCCGGTGGACCGCACAGCGGTTCACAGATATACATGATGAAAGGAACTGCCAAATTGGAAACATTTTGGTTGGTTTTAAGTTTCATGTTGAAATTTAAAAATACATTTCATATTCATTGTGTTATTAGAAAATATTTACTGGAAATGTCAAGTTTTAACTTTAAAAAGATTTTCCAAATTTACTGGGGCTAGATAAAACTTTTTGAAATTAATGCATGGGAATTCAGAACGAACATGTAGGTTGAGGTTGAAAATGTATATTACGAGAAAAATAGTGGGTTTATTCATCTTTGGTGGGGCACTTGGCATAACCAAAAAAATAAAAAATAAAAAAATTTCTTGTAGGCCAGAAATCTTTCCAACTTATGCTAAAAAAGATTATTACATTTTTATGAACCAAACAGAAACAAACAAACAAAATTGTGAGTAAATTTCGTGCAATTAGAATGACGAATTGATATGTAAGTTTAAAAAACAACAACGAATAGTAAATATGATGTATAGAAAGTTTCTGAAAATTAAAAACAGTACAAAATACCTTATGCCTTTAAAAAATGAAAAGAAAATATATATGATTTGAGTAAAAAGCTCTATCATTGCATGTGTATCACATCAATATTCAACTTTCTAATCCCTTAAAAATCCACCATTACTTTCGAATCTATAATATATTATATTATATTAAGGGAGAAACCAGAAAGAGAAAATAAAAAAGAATTCTAAAGGTGCCACATAGGATAAAATTCTATGTGTCATTTTTCTATTAGTTGAGTCAAAAAATATTTACAACAATTATACTAATAGTCCTTCAAATTTTATGTAAATAAAATTTTATCAAATAACATTTAAAACTATAGTTTAAAATAGGAAAATAAAAATTAATTAAATTTGATGGACGGGATTAATGAACATTAATGCACCAGAATTATTCCCTCCCCACCAGAATTATTCAAAAAAAAAAAAAAACCAATCATTCAACATTAATGTTATTTTTAAAATCTTTTCCAAAAAACATGACCCTATTTTTCGTCAATTAAAAAGAAAAAAAAGGTACAAAACTTACCTTCAATTATTACTCAAATGATGGGATTTAACTATGATTAAATGTTATCTTTTGAATTTCAAACCAATGCATTTATTTGTGTAATATCATATTTATCCAAATAAATATAATCTTTCCTTAATAATATCTCAAAAATTGTTATAAACTTTATCTTTATCACTGAAATTTTGGATAATCAATTATCATCAATCCCAATTTATCTCTATTTATTTCCACTTTTGGATAGTAAAATATACTCCAAAACACTTACATTACTGATGGATTATAAATAAAAATAGTAAAATTCATTTTACACTTTTTATATTTTTTTGTAGATTTTTTATAATGTATACAAATAAATCCCGCGCATCGCGCGGGTTTAACATCTAGTAGAATAGTATATAACTTTGATTAGCAAGGGAATAAAAGACTTAAGTTGATGGAGATCAGAACCAAACTAATAATGATCATAAATGAAATCTATCTCTTATGACAAACTCGTAGCGACTTGTTGTACAAATGCATGTAATTTAGAAAAACTTGAAGACTAGTATAATAGTTTATCGTTTTATGAGAGAAAGTCTTATGGTAGACTATCTATGAAATAGATAGAATGGTAATTGCTCTTAGAAACTAAGGTACAAATTCGACTTATGGAAGAGCATCTAGATTATAAAGATCCACCTTTCCAATAATGATGAATCAAAAACCTTGATTATGAAAAAACCAAAACCAGTAGATATCTATAGTGAAAGAAAAATAAATGCTATGAATAACACAATTGAAAGAAGTACTTTTCAATTGATAAGTCCCTTAGAAACACAAAACAAAATTTTGCAATAACTCGACAAGTCAATGCTAATTTTAATAAAATCTCAACATGTTTAAAATTAAGAATTTGACCCATTTAAAGGTAAAAATAAAATTTTAAAAATCATCTTAAATTACATATAAGGTGCAATTCCAAACAATTTCATCATGTCCTTACTTTTTCACAAAAAAAAAATATATATACTTAGATATTCTAATAGAACTAATCCTTACTAATCAAAAAAAAAGTCTAACTAATAAAATATATTTACATATTCAAACAAAATAACGGGGTATGAATAATTAAGGTTTCAATTTTATGAATAATTGTGTGAATAAGATCTGGAAAATCTTTGATTTAAATTTCATGATCAAAATCCATATTTCTTTGATTGTCTGAATAGTTACATTAATTAACGTCATCATTAATGTATGATCTGATGGAATCAATATATATCCTATTAAAGAAGAAGTCCAAGAGAAGAAAATGCTGAGGTGTCGCTTTGTGGTTAAAAAGTTTTCGCTCGAAACACCTCAAGTCAAAACTATGTTGTATGGTTAAAAGACCTATCATAAATGTATATAAAAATTAGCTCATTCTATTGTCAGAGAGAGAAATTTCAATTATGTGTGCTCTAATTAATATTTTATTTTCAAGGAAAAAAAACCGACACCATTTATGGTAAAAAAATATAGAAATTTCATGGGCAAAATTATGAAAAAAATCCAAACGAAATATATTTTTTACATTCAAATGGAATCACTCTAAAGCCAATCTTTTTTTAAAAAAAGAAAAAAAGTTGAAATTGTGCGAGTAAAATGACGAAAACATCCAAGTAACACATTCTTCTTATATTCAAACTCAATCATTGTAATATCTATTTTTATTAAAAACTTTTTGAAATCTAACGGATAAAATTACAAAAAAAATTCAAATAAAACATTCCTCTTATATTTAAACTGAAAGAAATTTAAATTATAATAATATTAATACAACTTAATTTTCACACAATCTTTTTTTACCTTATTTTTTACTGTTCACTTATTCTATTTCATAATCAACCATTAATTAAGTACGTAGAATATTCTTCACAACTAATAATTATTTTAATAATATATTTTAATGGATCCCATGCAACGTACGAGAAAGAACCTAGTATAGTTGATAGCGACTTGTAATGCAGAAGCATTTTAATTTAGAAAAATTTGAAGATTGTTATACTAATTTGTCTCTTTTGAGAGAGGTCTTATGGTTATGGTAGAGACTACCTATGATAAAGATAGAATAATAATTTTCTCGCACAAATCTAACTTGTAGAAAAAACACATTGATTATTAACCTCCACCATTCTAACAACTATGAATCAAAAACTTTAATTATGAAAGAACCAAAACCAATGTATATTTATAGTGAAAGAATAACTAATGCCATGAACCCCACGATTGAAAGAATTACTTTTTAATTGATAAATCCCTTAGAAAACAAAAAAAAAAATAAAAAAAATTCTGTAATAACCCCGTTAAGTGAGGTAACAAAACCCAATGCTAATTTTAATAAAATATCAACATGTGTATAATGAAGGATTCAGCCCCTTCATATAGGGAAGAAGGGAGAACAAATTTCTATGCTTAGAAAGAGAGAAAAGGATCTTCTAATTATTCTCATTTCATATCTTAAGAAGATAAAAAAAAAAGGATCAACAACTAGGACTCTTTTCTGCTAGAAATCAAATCTTATACTATCAAATCTTTCAATCTTGCACTCAAATATAACAAGCCAATAAGAAAATAAAATAAAATTTGTAATACAAAGTGATATTCTCTGAAAAAAAAATTTCCTCCATTTATGTGAAGTATGAGCACAATTAACTCCTCCGCAGTGCAGCTTTTGCTGCTGCTATCACGGTGCATCAGCCTGGTCGTGCTCGCACTGGCCTGGTTGTGCTTGCACTAAAGACCGCTTTGTAGCCTACAGCGCCGCTTTTGCAGCCCGCTGCTTTTGAAGGCGCCACTACTCTGCCGTTCGGAAGGGAGATGAGATCTGCCTCCAACAGCTTTGTTGCTGAAGCCCGCTGCATATCAACGCATCAATCCCAATTAGTGCATCAGTCCTGTCTGACGGTTATCAATTGAGGCTGGAATTGGTCTAATGGCCGATGATCAAACTTTGGGGGTTCCCACTGGACAATCTCGGTCCTTTGCAAGCCTCTTTAAAAAAATTAGCGGAACTCAAATATGCCTAAAAGCTCTCTATTCAAGCACATAAAATTTGTTAACGGAACTCCGGTACTCGAATATGAAGACGAAAAATTTGAGCAGCTCATTGTGCCTCATAGGCTAAGTTTGGTTGGGAAATTTTCTTATGGCAGGCCTAAGATGGAAGAGGTGCACAAAAAATTTTAGAAAATAGGATTTTTAGGAAGTTACACAATAGGCTTAATGAATCCACGAGACACCTTCATACGGTTTCAGAAAGAAGAAGATTATCATCTCTGTTGGATCCGAACATTTTGGAACATAACAGGATTTTTAACGAGAATTCTGAAATGGACTCCTGGATTTAAGTTTGAAGAAGAACCTCTGATTGCTCCTATATGGGTTTCATTGTTTGATCTTCTGATAGAGCATCTGAATCCTGACATAATCGTATCTATGGATACGACAATTGGAAAACCCCTAAAAGTTGATGCTCCTACGATGAATATGACTAGGCATTCTGCGCATTTCTGTGTTGAAGTCGAATTGATGAAGGAGCTTTCGATGTCAATCAAAATAGGGAAAAAAGGGTGCAAGCATGAGCAATTTTTCACCTATGAACATATTCCCTCTTATTGCTCAAAGTGCAGTAAATGACCACAAAAATGACGAATGCAACCAAGGGAAGATGATTCAGCCGTGTCAGTTGAAGGAAAAGGAGAAACAAGATGAGAAGAATAAAGCCCAGGCCAAAGGAAAAGGCATCGTTTTGAAGCCTTTGAAGCCTGAGTGAAAACTAAATATTGGTGCCAACAAGGATCTATTGTTTTAAATTCGGGCTTAACTAACCAAGAAAAGGAATCAATTCTTGTTGACCTATCTGATAAGAAAATAGGTGGAAAGGAACTTGAAATGGATATGCAGAAAATAATAAAACCGTAAGAAGGAATCAAAGACCGGACTGATGTCTCATCTCCACAGTAGGCGAATGATTAAGCTTTGTTGGAAAATTTGGATGATAATTCTGATGTTGCTGATGTCTCAATTCCAAAGGATCATTCAAATACAAAGTGCAATGATGGGATTTAGGCTGCAATTGATGAATTTCTGAAGGAGGAAAATAATAACAGTAAGATTGATGGGGAAATACAAATGGAAGGTGATCTAAATCAACACAACCAACATAAACAGTTAGTTGCTTTTAAACCGGTGATAGCAAATACCTTCCAGGTTTTACCTGAAGATGTGATCGAGGAGAATGCTAATGATTCTATGTGTAAAGAAGGTGATTCAAATGAGGGCTTAGTAATATTTGGAAAGGCATGCACTCCGAAACAAGTAGATGCGAAGAAGCAACTCATGATATGGAAAATTTTGAACAAATCCTTGCTCAAGTTGCAAAGGGTGATGAACCTCAATTTATCTCTGCTCGTAAGCAACAGAAGAGTCCTAGTGCCAATGGGACTCCGAAAGTACGTTGCTCGGAAAAATCTAATTACTGTTGATCATAATCCTTTGAATCTATTATCTTCTCTGAACTTTTTTAGATGCATTTTAAAATGTGATAAGTCTTCCGCACTACCACTTTCCTTTTCTTTAATTCCAGCTAAATGAAATGGGTATTACACTTGCCAGACACTGCCTGTTTTGATTAAAAAAAAGAAAAAAAGAACACAATTAACTTGATAACGAAGAATTATCTTTGAGCATGAACTCAATCAATATGAACTTTTGTAGAGTAATCACAACCATCTATCTTGATGTAGTCTTCATCCAATAGTTGAGTAGATATCAAGGAATAAACTTTTTTTTGTGAACAAACTCGAAAGCAAATAAAAGAGAATCATATTAAATCTTATCCTTTCATGAGTCTAATAAGATTTAAATGATCTGATCTCTGAAAGCTAGGGATTTTTTTCAATTTCTAAAAATTAAGAAATAGTCCAGTAGAAGTGGCTGGAACCTGAAAAAAAGGAGTAAAACACGAAAATTTCAAATTATTAGATTAGGAAAATTCGAAAAAATTATGCACTTCATCCGTCGGCGTCGTCTACTTTCTATATGGCCGATAAGTAGACGCAGTCCTGTCGGCTTCATTGTCGACTTTACATTTGCTCGACACGAAACATATTTTGGCCTGTATAGATATTTTTCAGGATTGTCCTTCTTAGAATGATTCTCACACTTGATGCTATCATTAGTAAATAATTTAACATCGAAACATTGGTTACAAATTTAATGTAACCTAGTTCCAATTTTTGCGAGTGAATTTCCAATTATAATTAGTTTGCATAAGGGTCGGCATCAAGTCTATACATTTTTGCCTTGGTAATTAATGAAATTATTAAGCATTGCAAATACCCGTCACGAATATTGTATATTATTCACAGATGGTATAGATTTAATAGAGGAAATGAGGAAGGAGGTAAATGCAAGCTAGAAAATTGGAGGGAGGCGCTAGAATCTAAGGAGTTTTATGATAAGTAAGGCTAAAACGAAATTTATGTAATGTCATTTTAGTAACCGTAGGAGTAATAACATGGTAAATATTAAAATTGGTAAACATGAAGTGAACATATTTAAAAATTTTAAATATTTATGATCAGTTAAAGAAGAAAATGGAAGTATTGATAAAGATGTATGAAATTCAAATCGGGTTGAACAAGTGTAGGGTGTCTTCAATACTTTGTGATCGTAAGGTATTATTGAGTTTGAAAGGTAAGTTCTATCAAACGGTCATTCAACCGGCGATCCTTTATGGATCCGAGAGTTGGGACACTACAAATGAAAATAAGGAAAAAATGCGACTAACGGAGATGGAAATGCTAAAATTGAGGATTAGAAATGAATGTATCAGAATGAAAGTAGGGGCACCTCCAATAGATGAGAAATGAGATAAAATTACTTGAGATGGTTCGGGCATGTGCGTAGGAGACTGATGATGGCCCTTGTTAGAAGTGTAGAAACTATAAAATTAAAAATACAAATTAAGAGGTGTAGGGGTCGCCCTAAGAAAATTTAGAAATAAAATTATAAAAATGATCTACTCCTCCCGGTCCTTAATATAAGGCATTTTGACTTTTCTTAGGTTTAACCTAGTGCACATTTTTAATCGACAAAAAAACCTTAAAAATATAGTATCATATTCGTTATATTCTCTTGATTGTTATGAAATATTTTTAAGGTTTTTTCGTCGATTAAAAATATGTACTAGGTTAAACTTAGGACAAATCAAAATGCTTTATAATAAGGACCGGAGGAGTATAGTAATAAAATTTGAATGGTGGTTCATGTATAGAACGAGTACAATGACAACGTATAATTTATATAACCGACCTCACCTAGTGAAAAAAATACTTATTGTAGTAGTGTTGTTGTTTAATGAAAGACAAATAAAGTGATAACATGTGACATAATAAACCTAAAAATCCTCCTTGAATGATATATAAGAATTATAATAAACTCTAATTTAATATATATATATATATATATATATTAGATATAGACTACTAAAATTTTTATTGAATCTTGTTAAAACAAATACTTGGTCTAAATGGGAAATACATTTTTCTATTTTAATTTATGATGCGGCAAAACCATCCGAATTCAAATCTAGACATGTGCACACAATAATTATTACAATACTAGCTGGTAAAATTTTAACTACGGAAAGGAACCTAATTTTGCCTCTTGGAAAGGAGCAAAATTTCCGTCCTCAATACAATTTAGATTTTTTTGAAGGGACCTCTTCATTTTAATTTTTTGTTGTCTTTATTGACCGAGCTAACCTGATTAATACTCCGGAGAATACAATTGGATGAGTTGCTTGGTAATATGTAAAATTGCATTGCTCATCTTTCAGATGCATCATTTACAGTTGAATACAACTTCAGTAAAAATCTAAAATACTCCATGCATTTCAAAATGTAGGTCGATTTAGGTTTGGAGAAATATTTCAAAATGTAGGTCGTTTTAAGATTTCTAAGCAAATTAAAGACCAATTTCTCAACTTTGTCCCCTAATAAATGATTCTAACCACTTTTTATCTAGTATTGGTAATAGTTCCAAAATAATTAATGATGGATAAAATACATATTTTACACAAATTAATTATTAAATTATTAATTCCTTAGTTTACGTACAGAGTCTAAATTGTCCCTTCGGCCACATCCCATAAAATTGGAACGATACAGAGAAGATTAGCATGACCCCTGCACAAGGATGACACACACAAATTGAGAAATGAGTGCAGAGTCTAAATAAATTTACATTTTGAAATTTTGAAATAGAGAGAGTAATGAAATACGACATGCAATATCAAGCCAATTTAGCGAATTGCAATGGTTCTTTAACAGCTATTCAATATATGGTTGGAAAAATTAGTCTCTAGTGTTGGTTGGATGAAGCGTTTAAGCGAATTGCAATGGTTGCCTTAAAACTGCTAGTTGGAATTGAGCGACTAATGCGGTGAATTATTTATTATTCAAAACATCTTGTCACTAAATATATGGCACCATCTACAAGGAAATTCCAAAATAGAAGTACCAAAAAAACAAAACGATCATTAGCAGAATAGTCAACTGAATAACTACCGCTAAGAGAAGTTGAAAAGAATTACAAGGGAAATAAGATCAGAGAAATGTCCAATTCCTTTCACAAAAATAATATAGGGTTTAGGTCTCAAAGAAACGAAGTTCTACCATGAATTCACGCTTTCTCAGGGAATACCAAGCAATAGCTTTTGCTGAACCAAGAACTTGCAAGGCATATTCAAGGGCAATCACAGGATCAGTTAAGTTCGGGTACCAGTTCCGGTTCTTGAAATCAAATGTTACCGCAGAATCAACTCTAACACTAAAAGGTCCAGCAATCTGCAAAAGGCATCGAAAATGATTTACTGTAAGTTGTAGCCTCAATAATAGAATACAAGTTTCTGAGTTGAGGCGGGGAACTAGGGAAGTGGGAAACATATGATACCATTTGGTGGAATGGTAGCACATCCAAACACACAAACACCACCCCCCACCACCACCCAACAAATAAAAAACAAAACAAGTGTAAAATAAATAAACCAGAGTGATGCACAAACTCTAAAACTATTAGATGAAAGTTCTGGAGCTTATAACAACCTTGATTAAGAAAAAAACCTACGGAACTGTAACAATCCACACAGTTCTTTCTATTCTCTTTAGGATCATCTTTCAGTAGCAATTTAATGCACAAACAAGAGAAAGACAGTACCTGCTGCTGAAATGAAAAGGTTGTGTTTGGGAAAATTGTCTCAATTGATTCCAGATTTGGAATTTGAGAATTATAAAGATCATATCCCACGTGAGCAGCACCGAAGAGAAATTTTGACACAGAAGGAAAATCCAAGCGTAAATTCAACCGTGTTAGATCCAGGAACAACCGCTGGAAATTTCCATGTTGTGCCGAAAATGATATAGATGCAAACATGTCAGCTAAAACGGCAGAATTTGCTCCATGTACCCGAAGACCAAAACCTTTTAGTTGTGAGGCATCTTCTGTCTTTTCCATGATTGACTTATTCCCAAGAAATGTTGTACTGACAGCCCCTGCTTAGAAACATTTTTTTTTTTTTGGGTGTGAAAATAGTCAGTAAAATTTGCAATGATAAAAATATGGAATTTGCACGACTAACAAGTAATCTATCACAAAGGGGCAATGCCAGACCTCTCGGACATGTCTAATACTTTAATTTACATGCAAGGGCCCAATATGCAATATGAAAGGCTGATTAAAAAAGCTTAATGTACATTCACATTTCCAATAAGAATTGAATCCATAAATTGGCACCGTCAAGAATGATAAGCTGAGGAGACCAACACCATTGAATGCGATTAAAATGAATTGTAGAAGCAAGAAAGAACATGCAAAAAGGGCCGTGGTCATGACACCATAAAGTTAAGGCACATTTCTTTTTGATTATTACATCAGATTAAAGACCACAAACTGACAACATTGGATATGGCTAATGAAAGCTTTATAGCTCAAACAATTGAAAAGGAAGGCACCTTTCCAGTGCACCTTTATTGAAAATTTCTCCACATTTCTACACCGACGGAAGTCAATTGAGATTTGATTATACTTGTTCCCTACTCCCCTTTCAAGATAAGCATTTCCCATCCATTTTAGATATTTTCTACCCAAAAAAAGAAAAAAATCAGGAACCATCAGAACACCAAGACTAATACCAGGCGCCACCCAAATTAGCAACAGGGTAAGTCATCAGAACCATCAACATGCATCATTCGTCATCACCCAAAGGCAATTGCATCAACTTAACACTGTCTTCGTTGAGGCCATAGCTATTCCAAAATAAGACAAAAACAACCACAGTAGCTAAGCCTTTCTCAGACTGAGAGAGGTTGGCTACATGGATCATATCTTGCCATCATATTTTATCAAATCATATATTTTTGTTTGAAATTTTACATTCTAAAGTCTTTCACTATTAGTTCTTTCCAAGGCTTTTAGCTGTTCCCCGCCCCATTTCAATGTAAGTTAGTTTTCTACTACACCCAGCATTAAAACTTTTCCTATTCAATGTTCAAACTACTCCAAAATACTTCTATTCATTTTCTCATCCTTAAAAGCTACCCTCTTTCCTATCTAATGCACTCTATTATACTAGTTATGGAGTACTTCCCGATGGGAATGAGTAATTTAAAACATTGGCTGAAAAGTATAGCTCAAGAAGAGGCAGAGAAGCCCAATTAAAGATAATGATGTGGGGCGAAAATTTCCTTCAACAAGAAATAAGAACCGCAGAAGAAATGAAATCTTCTCTTTGTCAGGTACCAAGGGGAGGGGGGAGGGGAGATGGAGACGAGGAGGAAATTGGGGGCTGAGATCAATCTAATAAGTTCTACTGTGACGCGGACCACAAACAATCTTTTCGTTTACAGATACATGGAATCTATTTCATATCAACAATTAACCAACCATAAACGAGCATTGTTTTTACCTATAAGGGCTGATGCTGAAATATGAGGGTTTGATAAAAATATGTCATAAGGTTGCACCATTTTCAACTTGGATGCTTCACTAGTCCAAATATCGATATTCTTCTTAAAAGAAACTGCACAGCGGGCACACAAACCCGGGAAGAGGGTAGCAGGTGCCCCGCCACCAGTTGCCTGACTTTCAGTTTTTAAGGGTTGACCTGCCAGATGACTAACGCAAAAATGATAACTTGGACCAGAGTCTGCACAAACTGAGGAAAGATCGGCTGTCAAGGAAAATGGCATATCCCAGTAGTTGCCAACTTCATCCACAAAAAGCTCCGGACCAGCAGCCTCAAGGGTTAGGTCATGATGAGAGAACTGTAAGGGCAATAGGACATAAACAATAAATTTTCACGGAGTATTGTTGGAAAAAATGGGCAAGGCTATAGGCAGAGCCAAAAGGTAGAACTAAAGGCTGAATATGAGAAGCACTTCATTACTACCGAAATGGAACAAGAATTACAATCCACAAATGAAAGGAAGTGAAAAAAGGCAGACCATAAAAAACTCCTTGCATAAAATGATACTCAATAAAACTTTTTAGATTCTATGTACAACTTCAACTATTTTCAACCCAAAACACACTCGAAAAATAAATGCCACACATACTCTTAAATACAGGAAAAGCAAAACTATGAATCATCAACAATTAGGACAGAAACACAAGCAAGCAAATGATAAACTCAAAGAGCTCGTACATGCTTGCCTTGTGATGAAGAACTGCTTTCTTCCTTGGATTCTTCTCATCGCCAGAAGCTTCAAAGCTAAGGAGAAGAGTATCATCATAAGTTAACAAGAGTTCAGAACAGAGGTTGAAAGCATACAAGGATTTGTCCGATAGCTGTGTTCTAATATGCTGCAGCCACGAAGGTTCTGATAGATGCAATCCGCCATCCTTTTTTACAGACGTCACAAACTTCTGGATATTGAACTGTCCAAGTAATGTTGCAAACCTGCATAGCTTCAAAACAAGTATTAGTTAATACTGACTAACTGGTTCAATGGTGACAAAAAATTGATTGGCAGTTTTCACTCTTACAATCTTAGGTCTTGAATTGTTTTATACAAGGAAACAAAATGAAATGAAGAAATCTTGGAGCTGTAATCCATTAAGACTCCATATAACTAACATTTCATTTCATAATCAAGCAGCACTGGAGAAAATTAAGTTACCCAGTTCAGAAGTAATGTTAAAAAAGAAAACAAAAAGTCTCAGATAGGCATTTTAATCATGTAACCCAGGAATTAAAAGGCGAATCATAAGTAGCGTAATGTTGAATATTAAACTCAAAACCACTGAGAGCTGAAACTACGAAAGAAAATTCATCCCTCATGAAATATCAAATTGAAGAAAAGCGCGATTAACAAAAAGCAATGACTAAAAAACCAAGGAATCGAAAGATAAGGATTACCAGCGTTGAGCAATGCGAGATGGGAGTGGAAGAGACAGGACTCTTTGAAGGGAAAGACCACGGTCAGCAGAAAAGGAGGGGACAAATGGGGCAGCCATGAATCGCTGGAAGAAATCAATTTGCCTAGGCCTTGAAAGCAGAGTACCGCGGCTGAGTCCAAGCGGCAAAGGGTCGCCGGGAACGGATCGAGCCCGGCCATCCAACGTCACCGGCGTCGACATGTCCAAATCCCAGAAACCACTGTCCATTGCCCATCTTAATTTCCTCATCGCCATTTTTTTCTTTTCTGATAAAATGGTAATAATTCAGTAGATAACGAGTTCGTCGGAGGAGGGATGATAGTGTTTCATAAGCCCTTACAGCTGAATTGAAAGAAGGTTTATCGTTTCATCCCCTCTTCTCAGTTGAGTTTCAGACTTTTGTTCCTCCTTATCCGCCACTTCAAATGAACGAGAAGTAGTAACGAGCAACATTAAATGGTTTTGTTTTGTTTTTTTCCCTGGACAAAAATAGTTAAATGAAGTTAATAATACTACTATTTCATACAATTAAAAAAAAAACGCAAAAAAATAAAAATAAAAATTACCATTTCAATTATTTTAGTACAATGAAAGAGCAATAATTTTTTTCAAACAACCATTTTACATAATTTATTCATGAATATCTAAAATTTCAAATTTAAAAATTTTACCACCATGATAAGATGACATTTTTAAATAACTATTTCAGTTTATAAGGTATGACTAGATACTTGGTCCGGGCGGATGCCCGAGATGCTTGTATTTTAAATAAGTTAAATAAGAAAGAATTACTAAATTTTTAAAAAATAATAATTTGTCGAAAAACGCTTGTGTTTTAAGTCAGTTAAATGAAGAAAATAATAATAATAATAACAATGATACAAAAGCCATAAGGGACAAATGATTCTTCCGGCCCGACAAATACTCGCTCAGCTAACATTTACAATTGCCAATTAAAGTATTAGAGGGGTAGGTATGCTAATAGGTTAGAGTACTTTTTCGCATTAGATTTACATCAAATTCATGCGCTATGGTTTTGAAGATCATTCATGAGAAAAGTCCTGATTAAAGATGTGGCAGTAGTAGCAGCAGATTAAGAAATACTGGAAGTCGCATCGGTTGATGTCATCATCTCACTCATAGGTGAAGGGTTGATACGTTTGTCGTTGACTGAATCTCTTCTTCCTTTCAAAAATTTGAAGGACTTTGGACATGGCCAACCTGAGATCAAAGCTTGGACTCTCAAATTGTATTGCCAAATACAGAATGGAGGCTACTTCATGGTGCTTGTAGTCACTCTGCTCATGCAAACTTCAAGCTTGCATCAATTATACCCTCCCAATATTCCCTGCCAAGTAGTGTTTATAAGCCAACAACATTGATCACTCATTCCCAAATGAAGTAATTCTATGTTTGCACACAATTAAAAAAAAGGGTACAAACTTTTATTCCCCAAAAACAATTGGAGGGCTCTATTTCTAGATGCCACCCCACAAACCTTTTCATATATAGCACCATGTGCATAGATATTCTCCTGGACTGCACTCACTGCAGGTCACTCATGAGTAGAGCAGATGTGAAAATTTAAGGATAAAATGCAAACCAGAATATCACCAAAGACAACAACATATGGAATTCATTAAATAAGACTCCAACCTGAAATGGTCTGTTATCAAAACCTATCATAATATAGTTGCAATGATAAGGATAATAACGCAAAGCAACATGTCTATGAATCATAATCATCAGAAAATGTTAAAAAGATTTTCCAAATCCCTATGTTTTACTTTTTTCCCCATAGGTTATGATCTAATTGGGTGACACACAAATTGAATCTTTCAGCAGATTGATCAATCATCCTAGTTGTGATCTTCTACCTAAAAAAATTTATCTAGTCTCACGATGCCGAGACCTTAGCATGGCTTGAGGAAATGACCCTTCCAGCTGATGCTTTCTGATTTGGAATCCTCTTCTTCACCGACGCTTTCGCCAATGGTAAGCGACGCCTCTTTTGCTGAGCCACCTGAATGTAAAGGGCCTTCCGGCGAACCAGAACTTGGAGCCATTGCCATGGACTTGCTGCTTTTGGTCATTTTCAACCTATGCCCCGTAATTTTCCTTTCACCTGATGAGCTTGATCCAGCTGACTGCACCTTGCGAATGTGAAGCCCGTATTTCTGAAAACCAAAAAATAAAAAATAAAAAAAATGAACAGAAAAATATATGGTATGGTACCTTAACATGAGCCTTATAATAGGCTCTGAAGTTGGATGGGAGAAAAAATCATCATCAGAAGTGAGGTTGGTTAGGCCAGCATCTTTACCCCATTGCACATACTGTTTTTTGCATCCATACGCATCCCAGTTGTTCACCAATGGCAATATCAACCTGATCTTGAACTTCCTTGCTTCGCTGACAACTAAATCCAAGGCCTAAAAAGAAGAAAATTTAGTCATAAAGTTCTAATGCGTGCAGTATGGGAGGAATTCAACCGAAATGTACCTGAAAAACTTGTTCATCATAAACAGACGAGGATTTCTGAAGAACGTGCCACTGGCCATCATTGAAAGCCCATGTCCTACACACGGTGAGACCTACAGTTCATGTGACTTGAAACTAATTGCAACTCAATCAACCAAACTGAAGCCAAACTACACTCAGAGACCAGAAAGAAAAAGAAAAAAAAATAAAAAACCAAGGTTGTGTATTATCCATCGGCTGTGTATATCTTCACATAATGTCAAACAAAAAAAAAAGCTATTGATTATTTTGAAAATGGAAGAATGCCCATATATTAGCTAGAAAACCCAAATTAAATAGATTCCAGCTTACCCAAATAATCCAGTAACACAACAATGATGCAGAGACAAAAATTCCAATTTTTTTTTCACGAATGGAAATAAATCGAAGAATCAAAGACTTGTAAATCGTTATGTTACTTTAGGATATCTTTGAACTTCAAATTGACCCCAAACATCCAGCTAATCTCGATGTAATAAGCTAACTGGAGACAATGAAAAAAAATTTTGGAGGAAAAATTGGTACCTCTTGAAGAAGAAAGCAAAGAAGCATTGGGAACAGCTCCGAAAACAAAACGATAAGTGGCTGCAACTCTGAGATCCATCCCATCATGAGCTGCTAATTTCAACAAAATGGTCATCAAGGCATATATCACACTATACAGTACCATTAGCACTGCAGGAATCCAGCCTTCTGTTGTGCTTATACTTGTCATTTTTGTAAATTCCTTTTTCTTCCTCTTTCAAAAGGAAAGAAGAAAGGCCAGAAACCTTAAAGCAAACTCCAGTTTTGTTCTTCTTCGCTGTAATTCCCGTTGTTGTCCTCAAACCGAGGCACCGCTATTTCTGTTCCGGTATTCTAGTCAGATTGTTTTTTTTTTTTGGCGGCTTTCTTCATCTAGTATGGTCAGAAGATTTCATAGAATTCGGTTGCAATTGTTCAGATCTGTCGTTGCATTGTTGGTGAGATCTTCCCGTCAGATCTAATTAACACCATTTGGAGTGTCCCATTGATGTTCTTCGTCAGTTGAATCTGCCATATTCAGATCGGCCGTCACCGCTGTCTCAGACAAAACTTATCAAATTTAAAATTCAGTTGTGCGAGGGAGATTGATTTTGATTAAAGGTTAAAGTAGAAAGATCATCTAGACAGAAAATACATCAACACTTGATTTCAATATCTTACATACCGTTGACTTTCCTGCTGCGATTGCCGGATGTTGGTTCTGCTCAAATCTTCTTATTCAGGTGGAGTTTTTTTTTTCACTTCCACAAAAGAGGTGACGGCGATTATTTTGATCCATTTATCATCGGAACTGATTATGATAAAATGTATCCGCGAAATTGAATGGTGATTTGTAAGCATAATGAGTAGATGAATCCTGATTTGAGGGGTTCTGTTGATGATATTGAGTAATTGCATTGCTGAAATTGGTGCGAGTCGATGCCTAATGGAAACTAAAATTAGGGACCAGTCTGTTATCCTTTTGATTTATCTGTAAATCTTTCTAAAAAGTCGGCATTGTGGAACATAAGTTATAGTGCTATTTTATAGGAAAATTATTTTAAAAGGATGTAAAAGCCTTAAATTGGGGAGTATTTATGGTGAACAATTATTTTTACAGAATGTAAATCTCTTTGACGAGTCCATATTCACCCCTGGACATGGATCGGCCCAATCACCCCGTCCAAGGTCCAACCGACATCACGGTTTAATATTACAAAACCTAGTAATATTCGGATACTTTTAAGGCTTATAAATAGGGATGATTACTCCACAATTGAGGTACACTATCTCTAGCACCAATTCACATATACACACTATTTTGCAATCCTATTTTCTGACTTAAGTTTCGGAGTGTCTACCCTCGGGAGGCCCCTAGGTTCTGTTTTACAGGAAACCGTAATTGGAATTCTACCACCAAGCCGGAGGCGCAATTCCAGGCATCGTCAAGTGGTACGCCAAGTGGGACACAAAAATTAGGGTTTGTGTCACAAAGGTTTCCCAAGCTTTCAGAACCTTTTCGATCCGCTGCCACCACTCCAAGCTAGGGTTTTCTCCAAGATAGGATGGCTATAATCGACAATCCCCAATCCAGTACTGCATCAACTGGTAGGCGTGAAAGTCCCAACGATGATTAAACCCTAGCGGAATTCCAGAAAATGCAGAAGCGGAAGAGAAATGACCGACTATCGAAAAGAAAGAAAACCCCCATAAAGCCAACCAGTAATTGAGGTGAGGGGGAGCGAGATCCAGAAACCCATCACAAAGTTTTTGATCCATACCAAAAATAGTGGCTAGCCGAGATCGAAACGGAATTGAAAAATTTGAAAGACAGCAATTCCCTTAACCAGAGGCAAAAAAATATATATACTAGAAAAATACCAACATTGTTGTTTGCTTGGCCTCCCCGATCCTACGGATCAAGAGCTGGAAGATCTGTTCGAGGAGAAGGAGGCGAAGAGGACGTTAGCCCTCCTAGAGGTGAGGCAAGGAAAACGGAAAGTCCTGGGTGAAGGGGGGAGAAGAGTTTCACAAGGAAGCCCACAATCGCTAAACTTCTAGCGTTGGGCTCTCTGAAAACCCTGGTAATAGCTTTTGGGACGCTCTCGAGCAAACAAATCCAGCGGTTTATGCAGCAATTGAGCAATTTTCAAAAGAAATGAACAGAAAAAACAGTCTCACCGTCAACCTAACCCACGATCACCCAACGTCGAGGAGTTGTCGAGAAGGGATTGGGACTCCCCTCCAAGAGGTAACATTCACTCTCGACTGGGTCCTAAAGCTCCTCCAGGGAAGTCTTATCACGATCACCGTGATACTTACCACAACTCAAGATACCTACCATATGGTCATTAGAGATACGACGTTCCATATCCTGAAGAGCCCCAATTTGCTCGAAGGCCACAAAGACCCGTCCATCCGCGACTCGATGAGAAGAATGATAGGAATGATTGTGGATAAGAGTCCTTTTGTCCCACGAATTCAAGACTGTTTGAAACCTTGAGACTTTGACTTTCCAAAAGACTTCGTCAACTACTCGGGAGACACTGATCCACAACGATTTTTGCACAAATATGTGCAGGTCATGAGAATTCGGAATGCGTCTCTCGACTTCATGGCAAAAGCTCTACCATCCTTCCTCAATGGACAAGCACAATGTTGGTTTGGACAGTTACCGGAAGGAAGCATTGATAGTTTCGAGGACTTGCCAGTGAAACTAGCCACACGCTTCTTCCCCAGCAAGCAAATTACAAAAATGTCAATTGACCTGGCGTCAATCAAGTAAGGACAAAACAAGAGTCTCTCGGATTTTCATCACCGTTTTACTCGAGAATCTCTCCAAGTAGATTACCTCGATGACAGAGATGTCTAAAACGGATTTATCCAAGACCTCAACCCATGGAGAAAGTTTGCTCACTTGCGAGTGAGGTTGACCACCAAACCTCCTCGAAACACACAAGAGATGTGGGCCACAGTGGAAAACTATATCTATTGCGAACAGACACTCAAGTGATCACAAGAATCCTTCTCGCTTGCAGGAGATCGAGGGGGAAGGGACAAGTACAAGTCAACGATGGAGAATAAACCGCCCTTGCCTAGACTCGATAGGACCTTAACCCCGTTGTTGAAGCCTCGACGAGAAATACTTCAGATTCACAAGGACGAGTTCCCCGTTCCAAAACCATTAGCTCACAACCCGAATAGTTCCACGATTCAGTACTGTGAATACCATAAAGACCACAGGCATGATACGGAAGATTACAGGGAACTCAAGCGGGAAATTGAAGCCGGAGTCAAATATGGAAAGTTTCAACAGTATGTACAAAACACACAGGGTACTCCTCGAGAAAAGAGAAAGTTCACGGCACCCCGTAATTTCCCTAGACAGAATAATAACCGCGAAACTCGAGGAGATAATCGAGGAAACAATTGGCAACAAAGGAATAATTTGCAGCAGCCTGCCCAACAATCCCTGGACGGAGGGCCACAGCCGATTCAGCAAGTTCCTCCTCCCTATCCAACCAAACAGATCACTCACAATGTAGGATCTATCTATGACGCGTCCCTTGAGGTCTTGTCCACAAAAGCAATGAAAGCATCACTTCGAGAAGTAACTAAGGCATCACCTCAAGAACCAAGTCATAAGCGGTTCAAAGGAATGGAGGCAATAGTCTTTACGGACAGTGATGTTGTCCCGGGCATCTGTCCACACAGTGATGCAAGGGTTATCGAGGCCATCATAGGAAATGTCAAAGTAAGCCTAGTATATGTTGATAACGGAAGCGCGTTGGATATAATATACAGTAAGTGTTTCAAGAAGATGAACGTAAAAAATCCTGATTGGCGTCCCGCAACGTTACTGCTAATGGACTTTTCAGGGCACACGATAATCCCTAGCGGGATTGTCAGGCTTCCTATTACGGTGAGGTCGCATCTTCGAATGGTAACTCTAACAATAGATTTTGCCATAATCGATGCATCCTCGCCATTTAATGTGATCCTAGGACGGCCATGGATGTGTCAGGCCCGCGCTGTTTGGTCACCCTACCACTTGGTCATGAATTTTCCAATAGAGTATGGGGTAGGAAACGTGCAAGGGAGCCAGCATAGTTCTCGAGAATGCTTACTCACTGCAGTGAAAATAGGGAAGAAAACAGTAAAGCCAGAGCTGGCTGCCACCACGTCGGGGTGTTACTCTATTCAACAAGGAGCGTTACCAATCAAATGTAAAGGGGAAGAGCATGACATGGATCTCGATCATCCCCAGCAGCCACCACTGAGCAGCAAGATAGAAGAGTTGATCCTGGACGAGAAAGAGCCAAAAAAGACAATCAAGCTTGGAATATCTATAAACGAAATCTTGCGAGTCGAGGTAATCACCTTACTATGCGAATTTCGAGATATCTTTGCTTGGTCACCATCTGATATGACCGGAGTTCCTCGAGAAGTCATCGAGCACAGGTTGAATGTCGACCCCAATATTAAACTGGTCAAACAGAAAAAGAGAATTTTTGCCCGTGATCGCAATGACGTCATTAACGAGGAAATGCTCAAATTGGTCAGCACCAACATACTCAGGGAAGTCCTTTGGCCAAGTGGCTGGCCAACCCGGTCCTTGTCTGGAAACCGGATAATTCCTGGCGCATGTGTCACGATTACACGGACCTTAACAAATATTGCCTTAAGGATTGTTACCCTTGCTCGTCATTGATCAGATGGTCGAGGGCATAACCGGTTTTAGAACAGTTAGCTTCCTTGACGCATATAAAGGATACCACCAGATTTTTATGGCTCGAGAAGATGCAGAGAAAACAGTTTACATCACAGAAATTGGAGTGTACTGCTACGATAAAATGCCGTTTGGCTTAAAAAACACTGGAGCCACCTATTAGCATCTAGTCAACAGAGCTTTCCACGATCAAATTGAGCGAAACATTGAAATTTATGTGGATGACATGGCCATCAAGAGCAACCTCGACAACAAGGTAGTCGAAGACATGAGGGAGATCTTCACAATTCTTCGAGCAATTAACATGAAGTTGAACCCAAAGAAGTGCACTTTTTGCGTCGGCTCTGGGAAGTTCCTGGGTTTTAAGTATCAAAAGACGGAATAACCGTTGATCCCGCAAAAGTCGAAGCAATATTGTCCATGGAAGCTCCAAAAATAGTCAAAGAGGTTTAAAAGATTACGGGATCCCTGGCGGCATTAAACAGGTTCCTATCTCGAGCTGCAGAGAGGAGCCTCCCCTTTTTCAAGACGTTGCGAAAAGGCAGGAGTTTTGCATGGACTGAAGAGTGTCAGACCGCCTTCCAGAACCTAAAAGAGCATCTCAAGCAGGTTCCCATGTTAGCTAAACCGGAGCCGGGAGAAACCCTATACATTTATCTGGCTGCTCGAGAAACTGCTATATCCGTGGTTCTCATCCAAAAAAAAGACGGCAAAGAAACCCCAGTTTACTTTGTGAGCAAAGTCCTACAGGGGGCAGAATCTCGATACACCCCATGGAAAAACTGATACTAAGTCTGGTGCTCGTTGCTCGACGGCTTCGTCCGTACTTCCAAGCTCACCAAATTCAGGTCTTAACCAAGCAACCTATGCAGCAAGTTCTTCTCAAGCCCGAGGCTTCGGACAGAATGATGAAATAGGCCGTCGAGCTGGGGGAACACCATATCGAGTATAAGCCTAGGACAGCTATAAAAGGGTAGGCATTTTATGGATTTCCTTGTCGAGACGCCCCGCGTTTCAGACACCATGCTGGGACCACTACCAGAAACACCACTGTAGTAACACACTCCTGTAGATCCGCGAGCTTGGACTCTTTACTTCGACGGCTCGTCTTGTGAGGATGGGGTAGGAACTGGGATTATATTAGCCAAACCAACTGCGCCACAGGAAATCGAGGAGAGGAAAGAATATGAGGCTAAATATTCCTATGAATTGCGGTTTGGTTTCTCGGTAACCAACAATGTGCTTGAATACGAAGCTATGATAACAGGGTTAAACATGGCTCTAAGGTTAGGAGTCCAGAATTTGGAAGTTTTTAGTGACTCCCATGTGGTGGTTAGGCAA